GAGACTGATAACAGCTTTAGTTTGCTTGGCTCTACAATCAACACTCTTGGCACCAGAATCCAGGAAATTAAAAGACGTATTGTGATGGGAAAGTCTGCTGTTAGGGATCTCTCCAAAGTACTGAAGAGCAATACTGTGACTCTAGAGACTAAGGTACACCTGATCCAGGTCATGGTCTTTGCAATCACTTGCTATGCATCAGAGAGTTGGACAATGACTAGGGATGATAAAAGGAGAATTGATGCCTTTGAGCTGTGGTGGTGGAGAAGAGTGTTGAATATACCATGGACTGCTAAGGAAATGAACATGTTTATTCTTGAGAGGGATAAACCAGGCTACTCCTTGGAGGCAAGGATTCTGAAGCTTCATCTGACATACTCTGGACATCTTGCAAGGAGGGACCAATACTTGGAGAAGGACGTCATGCTTGGGAAGGTGGAGGGACAGTGCAGGAGAGGAAGACCCTCGATGAGATGTCTTTATTCAGTGACTGAAGTAATTGGAATAGGTGAGTCAGAGACAGTGAGATTAACAAAGGATAGAGCGGGGTTTAGGGCCGTTGTACATAAGTCGCTATGAGTTGCAGGTGACTCGACGGCATATAACAACAACAATTATCAAAACCAACCACACTGAAGGAGGAAATCTGAGCTCCATGGAAGACAGTAGAGGGAAAAAAAGGCTCCCAGATTGGCCAAATAATTTCCAGAAATTCAAGCACTATTGGGGAAAAAAATTAGGGGAAAAGGTAGGTAACTGCTGATGTCAGATAACTCTTGGATGAAATCAGAGCACCCCAGGAAAATAGTTTTCTGTGTTTTGTTGACTATGAAAAGCCATTTGCTTGTGGGAACCATAAGAAATTATCAGTACCAGAACAAAAATGGGGATTCTAGAATACTGAATTGTGCTCTGACAAATTTACATAAGCCAAAAGGCAACTAATTTAAATTTAACAGAACTTGGGGGCATAGCTCAGTTTGAAATCAAGAAGGAAGTGCATAATAATTGCAAATTTGCTTCACACTTATTCAGTGAGCTTAGCCAAAATATCCAAGAGACTGGGTTTGCATGAAGAACAAGTATGAAAAACAATTGTATTCAGAACTGGAGTTATTTTCATCAACTAAACTTTTTTTTTAATGATTTTTTTAAATTCAGGTTGTTTATTTTTCATTTCAATGAACATCTACAGAGATTTTGGGATTCCATTCATTCATTGTTGCACCCTTCTCCCCTCACAAACTTTTAATAAGATTACAACTTTGCTTGTTGAAAGTTGAGAGGTCACGAAGCACTTACTGATGAAACTTCAATATGCATCCCACCTCAACATAAAAAAAAGGAAAGGAAAAAAAAACACACAACAACCCTCACAACTAGACCAATTTAAAAAAAAAAAAAGATCATGACAAATATGGACAAAATGAAAGTTGCCAAGAATTCTATTTTACTTGGATTCACAATCAACTCCTGCGGAAGCATTAGTCAAGAAACAGTAATAATTATAAAATATTGCATTAGGAAAATCAGTTGCAAAGATCTCTTCAAAGTGTTCCAAAGCAAATATATCACCTGAAGAACCAACGTGTTCCTGACCCAAGTGATGGCATTTCAGTCATCTCTTATATATGTGAAAGCTGGACGGTGACTGAAGACCAAAGAAAAATTAACTAATTTGAATTATGATGTTGGCTAAAATTATTGAAAGTACTGTAGTAGTGTCAAAGGTTTATTGTTCAAAATTTCTTTCATAGCCTTTGATTAACTATTTCCTTTGAGCTGAAGTATTTATTCTATGAAGAAGATTGCCCCAGTCTACTAGAGTCATGTGGAAGCTCAATGCTAGCTCTCTTTTGGGGTTCCCATTGTCCTGGGACACAGCGTCCAGGTGTGTCACAGCTGACAGTCTATAGGACCTTGGCCTATCGACCATCAGTGTCTGTAACACTGGTCTGCATCACCCACAGTTATATGAGTCATTTCCTTGATGAGTTTGAGTTTCTAGGAGATCTTCCAGGGAACCACAGAATCCAAGGGACATAGAAGAATGGGGGAAAGGAACAGAGGAAGCCCTGTTGATATTGGAAATCATGAAGTCGGACAGCAGATCCAACATTTGGAACATTGTTGAGTTCCACATTTTTGTAATTAATCTGCTACCAATAAGAGCAGAACAGATTGTAAATGAAACTACGGGTGTTCAGAGGAATGAACAGAGCTTAGAAGGACAATCATTATGTGCCCTGGAAGCAGTGATGGTGAGACTTAGTCTTACACATTTTGGACAGAAATATCAGTCCTTCAAGAGACACAGCAATCGTAACGGAGGCAGCAAAAAGGCTCTGAATGAGATGGACTGACATACTAGTTGCAGCAGTTTGCTCAAATACAACAGTGATGGTGAGGATGACACAGGATTGAAGAGCGCTGCATTCTCTGTACATACACAGAACAGAATTAACAACACCTAACAACAGCATGTAAACAAAAAAACAACATCCTTTGACACTGTGTTTTCATTAAAGATTAAAATGGTCCAAAGAGATTCATTTCAACTACCTCTCTGGCCTGCACAAACGCTCATTGCAGTGGTTTATTATTTATGATGATCTCCTCTTGATTTAATCCCAACAGGGTAAAGAATGAGTTATCAATATCATGCCATATTATTGAAAGATTTAATAGGCTATTTATTATGCAGGTAAATTTAGCTTTCACAGAAGACTTTTTTAAATCATTAAATCCTCTTGTTTCTTTCATCTCACTCCCAAATTAAACCAGCTTTTCTTATGGAACTATATTACTGCACTTCTCCTGGGATGAAAATTCCTAATTTTTCTACCCACTAACTTCATAAACTTCTGACTAGTCTGTAGCAATGTCATTGTTGTAGTGATAATAATTTGAAGACTTTAAAAAAAGTGGAGTGGTGAAAAAAAAATTCAAGTCTCTTCCCCAAAATAGATGAAAAGATTGGGTTTAGGGGAGAAAAAGACTAGGTTTAGGGGAGAGAAAGACTGGTTTTGGAGGAGGCACATAAAAGATAAAATGAAAGGTTATGAAAATAGTCAAAACACACACTAAGGTTCTCATAAGAATAGTACAGAAGAGAAGTACTGAGGATTACAAGCAATGTCCTCACATAAAAACTAAATCTAAGTAATATCAGTATCTCACTTGCACACATAGGCACTGGTATGCAAGAAACACTTCACCTTGGGGAAAAAAAAAATCATAAAGGGCAGCATTGTTCGATTAGCCAAAGGGGGGGAAATTGTTTTCAATATGATTAAATTACCTGTCCATAGATAAAAATGGAGAATGAAAGGACTTCTGGTGGCTTAGTGGCGAGAAGCTGAACTGCAATTCCAGAGGCATGTGGTTTGAATCCACCAGATGCTCTGCTGGAGAAGGAGGGGCAATCTCTTCCTGTACCAGTCAGATCCAATTTGACACAAAAAATAATAAAATAAAATTTAAAAAATCAGAAAAAGGGAGAAAGGGAGAGATAGAATAAGTAAAGAAAGAAGCAGAGGAAGGAGAAAGAAAAGGAAGGGAGCAAAGAAAATCTAAATTAAAAACTAAGTTAAAACGAGCACAAAGTGGCATTACTATGTCTGTCAGTCAAGGTGGGACCAATCATGAATTTAGCAGTTGAAGACTGCCTTACTAGTAATAGTATGTTAGGGTGGAGCTGATACTTATGTTGACTCCATAAAACATCATATGAAGCAAATTTTAACAGAATAAATAATTTCTCTTCATGTGTGTTCTCCTCTTGATAACTTCGCATTTTATAAATTTTCATACGCACAGCTCAATTTATCCACACAAAGGACTCCAAATTGCATCCCTTCAAGTTTTGTAGATAAACTGTAGATTAACAATAGCGACCTTGTGAATTCTTTAGTGACTCACACTTTGCTTCACTCAAAGAATGAAATGACAGAGACTACTAGTTTGATTAGAAGATCTGCACATCTTTAATGCATTTAGATTGCTTTAGAATAACTGCTATTTTTGTGTAGTTCTTGGCCTTTCTCCATCTGTGGCCTAGTTTACTCAACTGTCAATATTTATTAATGTCCCAAGAGCAGACCTTCTGTTTACATACGTATCGACATACAAATTTCTATTTCATATAGAAATAAGCAGGAATTGTTGCTGTTATGTGTCAGACTCAGAACCTATTCCTAGCTGACCCTCCTGTGGGTTTTGAGAGGCAGCAAATCACACGGGAGAAGACTGCCCATCTTTCTCAAGTAGGGCAGGTGGTGGATTTGAATCACCCACCTTCAGGTTGGCAGCACAGCTCATTATCCATTAGTTCACCAGAGCTTCAAACAGGTAAAGGGATTCAGTAAAAGAGAGACCTATTGCATATCCATTACATCAGTTAAAATAGCAAAGATTTAGAACCATGCAGATACAATACAGTAACTTATATGTACATTCCTGATTTATATTGTTTTCATGATACAGTGGTGAAGATAGTAGTTAACATTTACTGCTGTAGAGTCAGAACCAACTCTTAGCTGACTGTCCAGTGGATCTGGGGGAGCTATAACTTGCCTAAGGGAAGAGTACCCATCTTTCTTCCATGGAGGAGCTGGTGGATGTGAACCACCAGAGGAGCATGGCCTTTGGGTAGCTCTACAGACTGTGTCACCAGGGCATTCTAAAGATATTACAGTACATTTTATTTTTCCTTTTGCTTGTGTAATGTTTCAGGATTTTTGCCATAATTTAAGAAGTAGTTTTAAGTGTGTGTCAATAATTTCCCTTAGGAGGTATCAGAGATTATACTCTCAGAAAATAATTTCTCTATTATGCATCTACAAGCTATCTGTATACTGGGTTCCTTCCAACACACTTTGTCGTTAAACTTGTAATAAAATCAGACTGGAAATACCAGATGAAAACGCTGGCTTACAGATTTTACTGGCTTTTATTAACTACTTGAAGCTTTGATATAATTTACATTCTTTTTTCTAAAGGTAATATTTAAAATAAAGATTGCTATTTTAAACAGACAACATCATAAAGGTCAGACATTAAGGTCAGAAAGAAGTCATTATAATTAAGTTGACAACAGCACGACATCCCCTCCAGCCATCTCAGAGTCCTGGCTGTGGTTTGAGCTGATACCAGTGTCAGAGTCTGTGTCATTTGTGTACATGTTAAATACTCTTTGAGTAAATGGAGGAACGTCCCCACTGCTGTGAGGAACTTCAAGTTCCTTCTCTCTGTTTTCGTTTAGCTGGCATCCATCTTTATTACCAATGTGAAGTGAATTGAGCTCCTTGGCCAGAAGCTCATATTCCTTTGCTTTCATCTGAAGCAATGAGTCAGTGTATTTAATCTCTTTTTGGATCCCACTCAAGTGGGAGTGGATTTTCAAACCAGCTTTCATGCTTTTCTCTAAATCACACTTAACACTTTCCAAGTCTGCACATTCCAGTTCACCCACAGCAGCCTCTTCTGTGTCTTCATTTATCTCAAAGCAAACACTTTGCACCTCTTTCTCTATTTCTGTGGAGAGCTTATCAATGAGCATTCTGTAATATCGGAGTCGCTCTTCCAGTTGTACAATTCCATTACATTTGCTCAAGTCCTCCAGTAACTCGCTTTCATCAAACTGAAAGTCTAGTTTTTGTTCAACATCTCTGAAGCTAGGTATTAAATATGCATCCTGGACATAATTTTCACCGTCATTCTCTATGCGATCAAGGTGGAACTTAGCCTCACACTGCTCGATTTCTAGATCCAGCTCTTTCATTCTCTTGACTTGCTGATGAATTGTGTGGTCCTGGGAAATAATCAGATGAACTAACGTCTCCATGCTCTCTCTATCTTGGGAAATCATGTCTTGCTTAATTTTAGCTAGTTTCCTGAAGGTTTTCCTGACTATTCTTTTTTGTTTATCCGGTGGTAATGTCTTCATGTAATTTGCTGGGCTGAGTTCCCACTGTTTTTCTGTGTTTTGTACCAGTTTAGCTTCAGCTGTCCGCCACAGGGGGGCTGGAAGGAAAGCATCTGCTTTAACCAAAACAAATTGCATATTGGGCTGCTCGTCTCCCCATGCTTTCCACAACTTGAGGATTCTAGTTAGAGGAGGAAGAGCACGTTCTGAGCCTCTCCACTTTTCTATGATGCAGTAGTCACTGGGCTTTCCCAGAAGAAATCGTTTCTCTCCAAGTGTAGCCTCATGTTCCTCCAGCAAAGCCTGGATGACATCAGCAGCGGTAGTATGTTTAGTTAACCCACAGACAATCTTTTCTTCTTGGCAAACCCAAACCACAATTTCCTTCTCTTCTGAGTCCATGTCCTTAGTTGGAGATCTGAAAGAAAAACAAAGCAGATTATATTTCTGTCATCACTGGTGTAAGTTCAGAATGATGGGTAATGCGTACAATCCTTTTAATTTTACATTCTATGCAGATGCATTTTGAGGTGGAGACTATCAGAAGTCTTAGAGGCAGGAAAAAAAAACCAACAAAAAAACCAAACACAAAAATAAAACAATTAAAGACTGTACAAATTATCTCAATTTCATTGTAGGTACTAGAAAAAAGGAATTGATAAAGACAATTGCAGCCACAATGTGTTGTTGTTGTTGTTGTTGTTGTTGTTGTTATGTGTCCTCAAGTTGCCTGTGACTCATACAAAAGCCTTAAACCCTGCCCTATCCTGTGCCAATCTTTTTGTCTCTGACACACCTACCCCTATTACCCCAGGCACTTAATCAATTCATCTTATCGAGGGTCTTCCTCTCCTGTGCTATCTTTCCACCTTCCTAAGCGTGATGTCCCTCTCCAAGGATTGATCCTGCCTTGCAACATGTCCAAAGTATGTCATAGGAAGCTTCAGAATCCTTGTCTCCAAGGAGCAGCCTGGTTTAACCCTCTTCAAGACAAATTGTTTCATTTTCTTGGCAGTTCATGGTACATTCAATACTCTTCTCCAACACCACAACTCAAAGCATCAATTCTTTTTCTATCCTCCCTAGTAATTATCCAGCTTTCTGGTACAAAGCAAGTGATAACAAAGATCATGGCCTGGATCAGGTGCACCTTGTCTCCAGACTGACATTATTGCTCTTCAGTACTTTGGAGAGGTCGCTGACAGCAGATTTTACCAATGAAATATGTGTTTTAATTTCCTGGCTGCTGGTGTCAAGAGTGTTGACTGTGGAGCTAAACAAACTAAATCTGTTTACAGTCTCAATCTCTTTACCACCTATCATGATGCTATCAATTGGCCCAGTGGTAAGAATCTTTGTCTTCTTGATATTGCTCTTCAACCCATATTGAAGACTACAGTTCTTGACCTTCTGCAGCAAAGATTTCAGGTCCTTCTCAGTGTCAACAAGCAGGGTTGTGTCATCTGCATAACACAGATCATTGATGAGTCTTCCTCCAATTCTTATGCTACATTTCTCCTCATAGAGCCCAGTCTCCCAGATAATCTGTTCTGCATATAGACTGAAAAGGTAGAACACTTGATAGTGTTTATGCAAAACCTATAGTTGGACCAGGAGGCAGTCATCAGAACAGAGCAAGGGAACACTACTTGGTTCAAAATTAACAAGGGCGTACACCAGGGATGTGTCCTATATCCATATTTTTTCAATCATCCACAATAGAAGTATAGTTTAATTAGTTAAAGTTCAATTAGTAATCAAATAAGTGATACATAAGTGGAAATGGGTCAAAACAATTTTGCTGGAGCTTTAGGAATAGTTAAGGGAAATGGACACATAGGTAAGAATGGTGGGAGGATATCAGAATTATAAGTCAAAGCATATCTGAATATATTATGGACATATCAACCTGTATGCAGAACAGATTATCCGAGAGCTTGGGCTCTATGAGGAGAAGTGTGGTGTCAGGATTGGTGGAAGTTCTATTAACAATTTGTGTTATACAGATGACACAACCCTGCTTGCTGAAACTGAGGAGGACCTCATGCACTTGCTGCAGAGTGTCAAGGACTGCAGCCTTCAGTATGGACTGAGGCTCAATGTCTAGAAGACAAAGATTCTCACCACTGGACCAATTGGCAGCATCAGGATGGATGGTGAAGAGCTTGAGATTGTTCACAGCTTCAGTTTGCTCGGCTCCATGGTCAATACTCTTGGCACCAGCTGCCAGCAAATAAAAAAAAAACCACAAACGTATTGTGATGGGAAAGTCTGCTGTTAGGGACCTCTCTAAAGTACTCAAGAGCAATGGTGTGTCTCTGGAAACTATGGTGCGTCTGGTACAGGCCATGGTCTTTGCAATTACTTGTTATGCATCAGAGAGTTGGACAATGACTAGGGAGGACAGGAGGAGAGCTGATGCCTTTGAGCTGTGGTGCTGGAGAAGAGTATTGAATGTACCCTGGACTGCCAAGAAAACAAACAGATTCATCCTGGAGAGGGTTAAACCAGGCTATTCCTGGGAGGCAAGAATTCGGAGGCTTCGTCTGACATACTTTGGACATGTTGCCAGGAGGGACGGGTCCTTGGAGAGGGACATCATATTTGGAAGGGTGGAGGGACGGCACAGGAGAGGAAGACCCTCTATGGGGTGGATTGATTCAGTGACTGGGGTAATCGGGATGGGTGTGTCAGAGGCAGTGCGATTGGCACAGGATAGAGCAGGGTTTAGGGCTATTGTACATAGGGTAGCTATGAGTCGCAAGTGACTCGATGGCACATACAACAGCAACAACATCAGCCAAAAAAAGCAACAAGGACACAAACATGAATAAATAAATAAATTTGATAGTAACAAATACCTGATTTGTAAATAAATAATATAGTGAACATGATGAGGAAGCTCTGGCATCAACTCAGAGCCATTGGTTTCAAATCTACCAGTTGTTCCAAAGGAAAATAATAGACTTCACAGTGAGAAAGATGGACAATCTCCTCCTATTTTACTGCCTCTAAAAACCCTTTGGAGGGTCAGCTATGAGTCAGTTTCATGAAGAAAGCTAACCATAACAGGAAGAAACAGAGGTCTATTTTATAGCGTCCTTTGGAGAAGGTTCATGAAAAAAGATCACATTGAAATGAAACCAATAACCTATTGCTATAAGTTCATTCCTGTTCAACCCCACAGGATACAGTAGACCTATTTCACAGGGTTTCAAAGACTATAATCTTAATAGAAGCAGACTGACACGTTTGTACCACAAAGTGGCTGGTGAGTTCCAACTGCCAATATTTTGGGAAGACTTCAAGGAAGAATGAAAAGAAGTGCAAAGGTCACAAAGAGTATTTAAGGAACAGAAAAAACCTGAGAATAATAGAGTTAAAAGGTATTGCTATGTACATACACTGTTGGTGGGATAGTAAAATGGTACACCCACTCTGGAAGGAAGTTTGGCACATCCTTAGAAACTAAACATAGAGATTCCATATGACCCATCTATACCATTGCTAGGAATATACCCTAAGGAAAACAGAATTGAGATACAAATGGAGATTTGTACACCAGTGTTCATAGCACTCAAGCAAGAACATAGAAACAGCCCTGTAGTGTTAGTTTAAAAGTTTGCTTTTCTAGCCATTAAGTTAGTCCCCTGTAGTCTCCAGCTACCTTAAGTGCAGACACATGGTTTTGCAAATGATCAACAGCTGTTGGAATAGGATAAAAGAGAGACTGAATCCCACAAAGAGCAGCAAGTCTTGAGGGAGACTGAAGCAAGACTATGGTGGTGATACCTTGGTGATGGTGGTGGAGATTACTGTGGATGAATGGTTGCAAGGTGTAACCAGAGGAGCCCCGAGATAAAGTCCACAGTTAAAGGTTTTGTTATTCTTGCAGAATAATGCAAGGAAAAGTTAACTGCTGAACTTTAAACCAAAGCCTGGACTAATTGAAGAATTGTGCCTTGGAACTTCTGTGCTAAAACCTGGAGTCGTACTGGGTGATATTTGCCTCCTCCACTCTCCAACTTATTTTCCTAGTAAATCCCACTCAGTACCACAGTCCATGTGTCAACAACAAATAAATTCTTGTTACTGGGGTGACTGTACAGACACAATGAGGCTGGTCTATGGGCTCTTTATCTGCTGTCTGCACTGGGGTGGAGAGGCTGTGCTATTCTTCCTTCCTCTGTCCCTTTTAGAGAGTGTTCATGGCCCTGTGCCCACATGTCTCGTATTTTGCTCTTTTTGCAAATGTCCATTAACAGATTAACAGGATTGAGAAATTGTGATACATTCAAATGATGAAATACTATGCAGCACTCAGGAGCAACAATTTTCAAAAATACTATGTAATATGGGAGAGGCTAGAGTGCATTTTGCTTAGTGAACTAAATTAGGCGCATAAGAATAAATACTGTATAAAACTATTATTGCAAAAAACAGAAGGATAACCAGCAAGATGTGTGTGAATATTTAAAGAAGGGAGGGGAAGGTGCTGGGGGGCTGAGGGTTGGAGATTGAGTATCATGTGGTCATAGAGTTTGCTGGGTGGAGGGAGGGGGAGGAAAAAACAACAACAAAAAACCAACAAACCACAGTGTTTATGAATGAAACACAACTAAAAAAAAACAAAACAACAAACCAACAAAACAATGAGAGTTGTTGCTAGGGGAAGGAGAGAGACATTAAAACATAGTTCATAACATACCATTCTGATTTTTTCCCCCCAGACTTCCATTTTTAAAAGACCTGATTTCTGTGGAATGTATAGACTGAAAAACAAAAATTTTTAAATCCAATCTAAATTCAAAGGCAGAAAAGTTGAGCTGAAAGGGCACAGCTGCAGTTTAGGATAGATAATAACTGGGTGGACGAGGGGTTTAGATGTAGACACATAAGAAGTGATCCAAATTGGAATTTTCTTTTAAATTTTTTTAAATGGTATTACTTTTTGTGTGTGTACCATCAAATCAGATCTGACTGGTACATGAGGAGATTTCCCATCCTTCTCCAGCAGAGCATCTGGTGGATTCAAACCATGTACCTCTGGGTTTGCAGTGCACCTTCTTGCCACTAGGCCACCAGAGCTCCCTCAAATTGGGATATATTTTTTAAAAGGTATTTGACAGTAATTGACACTATAGTTTAGAGGAGCACAGGAGAAAGGAATAGAAATACAAAAAGGTCTGTTGAACAAAAATAAAAGACACTGATAGTAAAAGAAGCTAGAAATATGTGTCTTATCTATGTCATTTTTACTGGTGAAGTTTTTTAGATACTTTCCATCATAACTATTAATCAAACTGTCTTACACGAGATCTCCTTAAAGATTTCTAAGAACAAGTAATATGGAAAAATTATAATATGATTTATGGAGATTCAAGACTTTTAAGTAATAATTAGCTTGTTATGAACATT